GACTGTGATCGAGTCAAACACACGCGTGTGGAATCCAAGAGATTCAAACTTTTAAAAGAAGAGCTAAAAATCAAACCGGATTGAGGGCTGTGGGCAAAAAATCAAATGTTGCATTACATCCAACTATATTTTATTAAAATATATGAAATGTATTTTTTTATAATTAAAACAAAAACATTTTTTTTCACATTTTTAAATAAAATTGTAAATCAAACTTTTATTTATCAAAAGTTTTACTTTTGCATTGAAATGTAAAAAGCTATATAAATGAAAATGATTCAACATAATTTAAACATTTCAAAATCTTTTTTAAAAAATGATATACAAATGTTATAAATGTAACAGATTTTAATATAATATAGTTTGAGTTTTGGCTTCTCGTATTAAAAGTTTTTTTTGGTAAAGGGGAATATATAAAAATGTGAAATGCAAACACAATTAAATAATCACATGAATTACACAAATATTAAGCCACTTCAATAAAGAAAAGGACTTATTTTTATCGTCCTAACAGGGATAAACTCTGATATTCATAAACACCTCAGATCCTTCCTGAGCCAAAATCATAAGATTTCTCTCTCTCTGAATATCTTTTCTCTTTTCAAAAACTCTTTTATTTCTCCTCAGTAACATGAGAGACAAATGTCCAGTTACAGTAACATTATATTTCCTGCGAGCTGACAGCGGCGCCTGCTGGCTGAGATGTGTACTGCATGCTAATCTTAGCTAGACATTTTTATTCTCTCTCATGTTTGAGAAAAATATCAGAGAAAAGTTTTTTGAGAGAGAAAAAATTTTTGCAGAAAGAAAAAATAGAAAAAGTTATTGAAAACAGAAAAAAACCTTGAGTTTCATCAAGTTTTTGAAAAAACGTCTTTTAAAGAGAGAAAAACTGAAAAAGGTTTTTTTAAAAGAGAAAAAGGTTCTTGAAAAAATAAATAAAATTGAATACAGAAAAGTTTTTAAAAATGAGAAAAATCTTTTTGAAGTACACTTTGGACACCCCTGGATGCTATTTACAGTAAAAATAGTTATATGTACTATTTACACAGTGAAAACAGCCGTTCTATTTACGTTGCGTAAAAGTAGCAGATCTTTGCAATAAATGTAAATAGTAGCTAATTAGATGTTATTTATGCTTATAAATAGTGGCAGATACTATTCGCACCTCAGTATTGTTGTACGTGAACAGGAATTTTACACGTTTTTTTCTCAAAACACCGACTTTATTCTCGAAATGTAATGTTTAATCTCAACATTTAATCTCGACTTTTTTCTTGAAATGTAACAACTTTAATCTCGAGATGGTTTTATTTTCTTAATATTGCTTGGGCTTAATCCTCTTCCGTATTGAAGAGAGACATTTTTTTTGAAAAAAGCTTTTGAAGAAACGTTTTTGAAGAGAAAAAAATGAGAAGAAAAATATTTTTAAAAAGGTAAAAAAAAAAAACTTTTTTGAAGACAGAAACAAGTTTTTTTTTTAAAGAACAAATGTGAAAAAAGAGAAACGTTTTTGAAGAGAGAAGTTTTAGGGCGAGATAAAACCAGAGCGAGAGAAATGCTGTGCTCCGCTGAAGGTGTTTTTCCGGTTTCAGCAGAAAAAGCTGAAGGTCAGACGTGGCTCTAATAACAGTTTAAAGTCATTATTCTCTCCGCTCTGATGGGGCAGATTTTCCCATCGACACGTGTGTACTGAGATCATTCTTCACAGACAGCTATTGTTTCATACACAGAAAACGCTCTGCACTCACACGCTTCATTTACTGTATTTACAGACTGTTTTCATAAATAAGAACGTCCTCAGAAGCGTTCTGTTTAACCTTCTGCTGCTGTTCGGCTGAAAACTTTAACCTTTTGGTTTTTCAGGAACACAACTTGTTTCTATTAATGGCTTTGATTTTCATGCTGTTTTAAAGTAAAACATCTTCTGGAAAATATATATTATATTTATTATATTATACAGTTTTAAAATAGTATTTTTTGCATTTTTCATTATAAACTTAAACGTCTACAACTTTTTTATTTTCACTTTTAAAACAGCAATAATCTTAAGAAGCGTCTTTCAGATGCTCTCCCCGTTTCCAGCCCACTCAGATCCCATCTTGCAGACTAGAAAATGGCTTGAGCGCTTTAAGACTAAATCTGCATAAACCCGTGCTAATGAGACCCACGAAATAGTTAGGTACTTGAAAATTACAACTGCTTCCCCTAACCCAGCAGGAAGGGTTTGGAATCGGGAGACTGAGGCAAGGCTGACCCCCGCTAGACTGTACCGTCTCTCTCCTGTCTCCCGCTCTCCTCGGGGAAATGCTTAAGTGGGCACATGGGCCATAACAGAGCAAAACCGAACACACAGCCCTGCAAGCGAACCCGGGTCTCCGCAGCGGGAGGCGATAACTCTACCACTGAACCACCAGGCCAGATACCTAAATCAGTTCTTGCCTGAGAAGAAATTTGACCTGTTCAGGGCTAGATCCCACTCTCCTTACGTCTGTGAGGGATAAGTCTATGTCAGGGGTAGGCAAGTTCGGTCCTAGAGAGCCGCAGTCCTGCAGAGTTCAGCTCCAACCCTAATCAGACATACCTGAACAAGCTAATCAATGTCTTCAGGATTACTAAGGTTTTGTTTTCAGGGTTGGAGCTGAACTCTGCAGGACTGCGGCTCTCTAGGACCGAACCTGCCTACCCCTGGTCTAGGGTGTAAATTGGTTCAGGGCTAGATCCTGCCTTCAAGTCTATGAGGGGTAGGTTTAGGGTGTGTGTCATACCAGGGCTATATCCTAGCCTCCACTAAGTACCTGTGATTTCCTATCCCGCAGAGAACAGACCTAGACCTTACAACATGAGCGTCGGGAAAAAAGTCCAGTGCCTACACACTGCCTCCGCTGTTTGTGGCACCCAGTGAAGCTTGTCCGCCTCCGTTTCAAACAATTATAACAATGGGATGCCATGGTCTGCTTCCTCAATGCAGTTATTGATCATCTTCAAGTTCTCCACTTGCCGCCTCGGCCACCCCTTATGATAGTTAATTAGGGTTAGGGTGGGCGTGAACTCTGACCTGGAAGATGTTAATGTCAGGTTTAGGGTTAGGGTGAGCGTGACCTCTGACCTGGAAGATGTAGTCTCCGGGCCGCACGTCGGTGATGTCCACCCACTGGCAGTCGATGTCGTGGCGGTACGTATCCCAGCAGCCCACGCTGATGCCCTGATCACCCATGTTATAGCAGGCGTAGCGTTTGCTCAGGCCTGTTACCGTGGAGACCAAGCAGAACGAGACGCTGTTTAACGAACTCGGCGTCGGTCAGGATGACAAGAAACATTTGAGTGTTTTTACATGATTCCTGTACTGTACTGTTATACACGAACTTCAAAAATCTGTATTTTAACTCATTATTACGGAAGTTCTAAGTGGCCGTGCATTATTATTTTTTTTCCTTCTTGTTTTCTCGTGATCACGACTTTTAATTTTCTCGTGATATTGACATAATAGTTGTTCTCTAAGTTGCACAACAGGTACAGAACTACTGATGGGGAGCCGCATACTGTACGTGTTTGGGACAGAGGACCTTCTTCATGATCGCTATAATGTGTGCAATTCATTACTGACATTTAATGAACTTATAAATGTTAAATGCTTGAATAAATATGACCATTTTGCTTGGAATTGTATCTGTTATCGTTACGTTATTACTGCTGCACGACTCATCACAGTTTGTCCTTTACAACTGTGCATCTTTCTTATTTTTAAACTTTATTGTTAATAAATGTATATTAATAAGAACTGTGATGTGCATGTGTGTATGATTTAGTTCAGTGATGTTATACAGTGTTGAAGCCTAATCTTTTGTTTTCTACATTTCTTTGCAGGAAAGCACACACTCACACACACATAACAACATCCCAAGCTTGTAACGCACATGATATCAGCCTATCCTACATGACTAATACAAATCACAAACAAATTATTATATTATATTATTATATAAAATTTTATTTCAAACGAATGAGGAAAATAAAGTAAGTTGAATCCAAACACTTTTTGGCGCTGCGCTTGTAAAACGCTTAACGTTGCTTAATGCGTTAGGAGAGTGTTTTTAAAGACCAAACTTAGTAAACACATTATTAATCAATTATAATATGTACAGACAAGCAGATGAGTCCAGGATGCGAACGCAACGCAACGCTTGCTTATAACGGTTTTCTATGGGCAACACTTAACACGTTAAACACATTGTGTTCTTATTATGGGCTCATCTTCTTGTCTGTACATAGTATGAATTATTAATGTGTATAAGGAGTTTGGTTTTTCATAAACACTTAATTAACGCATGAAGCCTTAAGCGCTTTAGAATGTCCCCGTCAAGGATGCGTTCGTTACTATAGCAACTGTAGACTCAATGCATTGTGTTTTAAAAATCAAACTATTATTGTTCAAAGAGCCACTTTTGTTGTTGAAATCACGAGGATATTAAGTCGTGATAACGAGAAAACAAGAAAGAAATGATAATAATGCATGGCCGCTTAGAACTTCTGTACCTTATAATCTTATGCTTTGAAAAGTACTTGTGACATTTTTGTTCCGACGATCAGCTCATTATTATCCAATTATTATGCAGAAAAAAGTTTGTGAAAAAAAGAAATGTTTCTGAAGATGGAAACATTTTAATGAAGATGCATCTTTGAAAAAAGAAAAGTCTGAAAAAAAGAAAACAGTCTCTGAAAAAGAAAAAAATTAAAAAGTCTGAAAAAAGTTTTTGAAAAAAGAAAAAGAAAAAAGTCTTTGGAAAACATTTTTGAGCAGAAAAAAAACAGAAAAAATGAAAAAGGTTTTGAAAAAATAAAGTTTTTGAAGAGCACAAAAAGTGCTTATTATTATTATCTAGGCAGGTTTTCTGGTGTTATTTTATTCTAGCTAAACAAAAATATGGTTCTGAAAGTAAATACACAATTCAGAAAATCCATAAAGAGATTAAATGTAAAAATATCATGCATAAAGCTTTAAATGAGCTTCTGTAGATCAAATTAACATCAGTGGAAACTTGACAATAAAATCATATTTATTTAGTAAAAATTAAAATAAAGATTCATATTTTGATGGCCACTATTAATTTTTGTCTTTTAAATTAAATATTATAAATAGTTGATCAAATGTTGGTGACATCACCACCTCAGGAGTGCATTATCTTCTAATAATTCAATTATTCCTTAATGTTAAATTCTGTGTAAATATTTATTCATGTTCTTACCAGAGAGTGTTATTCTAATTATATTAAAGTAAATACATATGATTTAGAATAACACTTAGGGCTGTCAGTCAATTCATTTATAATCAAACTTTTTTATACTAAAGTAGAATTTAAGTGCTTTTTAACTTCCACTCAAGTATGTTTTTGGCCTGATATTTCACTTAAATATAGTTTCTGATCATTTTTTAAACCCCTGAAAATAAATAACTAAAATGATTTATCTTTTTTCCCCAGCTTATCAGCATTTAACGACTAAAGATTTATAAAAATATATATTTGTACTATTTCTACCTGTTAAATACTGAAATATGTTAGACCTTGGCTTAACCAATAAAAAGCATATTCATTTAAAAAAATGATGGTGTTTTAAGATTTTTTTAATTAACATGAATTTTCCAGGTCTAGGATCCTAGTCATTGAAAAGAAGAAAAAAAACCCCTGGGGCTTAAATAGTACATATTAAATAAGAAAATAAATTCTTAACATATACTTAACAAGATTAAAATAAGAATCATCTTAATTTGAATGAGTTGTAGTTTATTTAAATGCTGCTTTAGTGTGATCATCGAGTGGTTTGTTTGTGTTAATGAAGCAGCTTCACCTTCAGGGCAGTATGTGTCCTCCAGACAGAAGCTGGCCTTGTGACCCTCCGCGACCTTTGTGCCGTTCAGGGTCAGGAGGTCGTAGTGCGTGAACACCTCGATGCTGTGGTAGTGCCTGTAAGAGACGAGGAGCACGGCTCAGTCACGCTGTCAAACACTACCATCGTGACACAGTCCTGGCCTCTGATTGGCTGCTGGACGAGAACTTCAACTGACCACCCAATCAAAGAGCTGCTGGAGCGAGAGACGACCAATCAGAGCACAGCTCTCACTGCTGACACCAGCACAAACGCAGCTACATCACAGTCATAGAAACATACAAACAGACTTTATTTCAGCTAGATTCCACCGCAACACATTTTCATTTAGCTGATGCACTAAAATAACTAATACATAAAAATGAGTAAAAATTATATCACACTCGCTCACACACTCGCACACACACAAAAACACACTAAACACACATACACACGCACACACACGCATGCTCACGCTCACTCTCACGCACTCGCTCAAACACTCGCATTCTCACACACACACACACACACACACACTAAACAGACACACACACGCACACACACACACACTAAACAGACACACACACACACCCACACACACACACACACACTCTCACAAGCTGATGCACTAAAATAACTAATACATAAAAATGAGTAAAAATTATATCACACTCGCTCACACACTCGCACACACACAAAAACACATACTAAACACGCATACACACGCACACACACGCACACGCATGCTCACACACACACTAAATAGACACACACACGCACACGCACACACACGCACACACACACTCTCGCTCACACATACACACTCACTCACACACACACTAAACAGACACACACACGCACACACACGCACACGCATGCTCACGCTCACTCTCTCACGCACTCGTTCAAACACTCGCATTCTCACACACACACACACACACACGCACACACACGCACACACACACACATGGACACACTCACTCTCTCACGCACTCGCTCAAACACTCGCATACTCACACACGCACACACACACACACACACACGCACTAAACACACACACTAAACACACAAACACACGCTCACTCAAACACTCGCATTCTCACACGCACACACGCACACACACACTCTCGCTCACACACACACACACACACACACACACTCACCGGTGGCACTGGTGCCAGGTCCAGGACTCTCGCGAGGCTCGTGGTCTGAAGTCGGCTCGTCCGAGGTTCATGATGCGTGAGGAGAAGCGCAGCAGCCGCCGGTGACCGTAGGGCCAGTTCATGCGCGCGGCGGAGGACGACAGACAGTGCTCCTCGTGAGCGCAGGTGAGCAGGTGCAGCGGCCGGTCCTCCAGATACGCAGACTCCTGCACCAGCTGCGCGTCGATCACCAGATCCGGAGCCGCTGAGGACACACACAGCACACACTTATCACATATACACAAGAGCAGCACATTTAACAGCTGCATGAATGTCCAACATATTGCAGCAAATCACTTTAATCAAAATATTATATTAAACCGACACTTTTTGGTCACCTGAACCCCTACTGAAATATTTACTTTAAAGGGGTCCTATTATGCTCTTTTACAAAGTCTTGATTTAGTTTTGGGGGTGTACTAGAACATGCTCTCATGCTTGGTGGTTCAAAAAACGCATTATTTTTCACATAATTTACATTATTACAATACCTTTCTCCCCAGGCTGGCACAAATGGCTTCCGAAAAACAAAATGTGTTGTGATTGGTTAGCTGTCCCAGTGCGTTGTGATTGGCGAACAGCTTAGACGGTGTTTCAGTACTGCCCCGCCCCTTGCTCCGTCTTTCATCAAAAGCTTTTGGCGAATCCGGCACTACTCCCTCATGTTGTGGAAGCGGTCCTCAGTAAAATGCGCAGCACACAATAGCAAATTGGGGTTATAATGCTCAGGAACAGAGATAAAAAATTAATTGCAA